CTCTATATTGAACATTTCTTATGATCCAATTAAAGCAACCATAGGCTGAGCTTGAGAATTTCTTGTAATACTTGTTTTGCATCTAATAACAGTAGTATAATTTTTAAATACTTTGAATCGAATAGATTTGTGTCATCGGATTGTGTTAGCTCGTTTCGTCAAGCAATCGATATATCTATTTATTCAAAAGAAAAACATCATATATATATAAATGTCCTTGAAGTGCATAACATCACAGAGAAAGAAGACAAAAGAGATAGTTGTACAACAACAAAGAAAAGAAAGAGAAAACGAAAGCATAGAGGGGTATGGTGAACAGATATCACCGTTAACAGTCCTTCCCCCTTACAATAGATGTGTGTCCTCACATATTGATGTTCATATATTGAAGAATACAGTTGTTATCCATCAGCATTTGTAATAAAAATAATAATCTGGTCAATTTCGTCTTCTGTTATCATATACTTGTACTTAATCGTACAGTTGTGGGTTAATCTATATGTAAATCGATAGCTTGAAGTGTAGTTGATATTGTTCAATGTTATGTATCGTCATAACATGCATTATCTATTGAAAAAACTAATCGATCACTTGATTGATTAACTAATTGTTTAACATTTATTCCCTGAAAAATTAAACATGATGTATTTGATAAACATTGATCCGTTTCATTTGGAACAGTAAACTTTTTATCATTATACGAGTTAAATTTATTTGTTAAATCTTGATAAGGTCTATCATGAAATCGTTTGCTTGTTTTTAATTCTTTTGTTGGATACATTTTAAGATAAAAAATCAAACAAAATATAATGTTAATTGTCATAATGTGATAAACCATTTGTATTTGATGTTGATGATGTAAATAATGGACCCAAATCAGAATTTTACTTAAGTAATTTTCAAATTTTGTTATTATATGTTTACCATATGTAAATTTATGAAATGATTGCATATGTGAGCGAGCTTTTGTAATAAAACTTTTCGTTGAGCAGGTTCAACTAGATCAATCATTTTTGTACAACATAATTAACAAATTGATCGTTCATCATTTTTCCATTAAATTTATAATTATCTTATTTTGACGGTTCTAATGTAAATAAGCATGTTGGACGAGATATGATCACGATATTTCTTTGTAATAATTCATTTGTATGAACATATAGAATCACATTTAAGTGTATATTGATTAATTAAATCTTGAATGACTGTAGTTCGTAACTACAAAATAAAATTACATGCTAGAGCAAATATATATGTAATATCGCGAAAAAAATTATGTTTGATATCAATTAATGATTGTTGCCAATCAATCTATTTTTGATTATAACAGTTAATGTTAAGACTAATGTCGGCGCCAGAATGAAAGAGGGGTGGATATAAATTTAATAACTCAACAACGGCAAGAGCTACCGAACTGCGGTTTGCACCAATCGAAAGAAGAGGAGTGAGCACGTCTTTTTTTCTGATAATGTATAAGACGAAATCCTTTTAAAACTAAACATATTCGAAAAACCTGAAAAAAGAACCCATGAAATGACCTGGCAGCTAGATGAAATTTTAATTTTGACTTTTGATTTAGATAGAGACACTTCAGATCTATAGCTCAAAATACAATACAAATGGTTGTCTTATTATATTCTAACGCTGAGCAAATGGGATCATGCACTTACATGCGCAAATAATAGGGCATTTTGCGAATTTTTTCGCAATTTTCTCACTATTTATCCTATTAGCTTGAGATTTCGATGGAAATGTAAGAAAAAGTAAGAAAGCGCATTGTGTCTTGAACTATAGATCTGAAGTTCCTCTATCTAAATAAAAGGTCAAAATTAAAATTTCATGTAGCTGCCAGGTCATTTCATGGATTCTTTTTTAGGTTTTTCGAGTATGATTAGCTTTAAAAGGATTTCGTCTTATACATTATCAGAGACAAAGACGTGCTTACTCCTCTTCTCTCGTTTGGTGAAAACCGCAGCTCAGTAGCTCTTGCCGTTGTTGAGTTATTCAATTTATATCCACCCCTCTTTCATTCTGGCGCCGACATTAGTACTATAAAAATTTCAATTGTGTGAACATGTAACAATATCTATAACAGATGGATATTTAAATAGACTTGTTATAATATGTTGAAGTTTATTTAAATCGAATTTAAGAATTTCATGACTAGCTAAATTATTTAATAATTTGAAAACTTTTTTATTTGAGAATAACTAATTATTCAATATTGTGATGTGTTGGGTTACTGAGATTGATCATAATAGAGAATTTTCACCATGTATAATATTAAATGATTAATAATGTTGTATGTGTATCATTCGGGTTGTTCAGGTTGATAATTCCTTTTTTTAAAACGATGGTAGTGTTGTTGTTCGTGATGTTGTGTTGATTTGTTTAGAGATTCTGGTCAATCTAAATAGACTAAGAAAAAGTGATTTGTAATTGCGTCACCTTTCCGTTCCGTCGTATTGGTTGTTTTGTTCATTGGATTTATCTGTAGTTGTCGTTGTTGTTTATTGTGGGTGTGGGGTGTGGGTGTGGGGTGTGGGTGTGGGGTGTGGGTGTGGGGTGTGAATGTGTGTGCGGGTGTGGAGTGTGGCTGGGTGTGGGCGGGTGTGGGTGTGGGGTGATGGATGTGGGGTGTGAGTGGGTGTGGGAGTGGGTGTGGGAGTGGGTGTGGGGGTGGGGTGATGGGTGTGGGGGTGGGCGTGGGGGTGGATGTGGGTGTGGGGTGATGGGTGTGGGTGTGGGTCTTCTCCTCTGCTAACACCCACAGTCACACCCACCGACACCCTACACCTACCCCACACCCATCCACACCCACCCCATACCCTTACAGCCACACCCACCTACACCCACCCACACCCACACCCACACACCTAAACCCGCACCGTAATCATAATTCAGTCAATTATTTCAGTACTCGAATAATGTCCACATTGATGTCATATTAGGAGGTATTTTATTGTGATTCTTATCAAGATAATGAAAACGAACGATAATAATATACGCATTTGTAAAAAAACTAACTATGTTTCAATTTGCATTGCCTTTGTTTTACTTTGGATACCTTCGTATCGTCCACATCATTACACTTAATTGATCGATGACAATTAGTATGAATCTTATAAAGCATTAACGGACACGTTATCATCAATACCATACTAATCAGATACATTGAATCCACCCATAGTTATAATAAAAAAAAACGTCAGTTGTTTTCTTATCGTTATAATTTTGTTGCTTTGTTTTTATGCTTTTCTTCCACACACACTCTTGCTACTTTATTTCCTTTTATTAGCATAGATTTCAAAATTAATAGAAAGTAGCTACTGATTTTTTTCACTCTTGATGAACGAAACATGTTTTACATGATTGCCATCACATCGAATACAATGTAAGTGAAAGAATGTTTCCTAGTCATACTTTTAAGAGATTATTTACGGTGGTCTTTTCATGAGTACGGAAAGATATCGAAATTGTGGACATGGTATACGCAAAACTTATTCGAATTGAGAAATTACAATCGATGTTGTCTGTCGCTTTTCTACTTGACTATGTATGGAGACACAGTACAGTCCCCGCGAAACTGTAAAAGTAATGCATGTGCATTGACTTAACAACAAGCAGAATGTTGCTATTGCGTCGAAAGGTGAATGTAAACAGTTCACCATGAGTTTGGAGAAGAAAAAAAACAGTAATGCATAGAAGTACTGTTGTTTTTAAAGAAATGCATGTGGCCCTTGTCGAAAAAGAATTATTTTGCGTTCGCGTGGCAACTATTTAAATACCGGGAGAACTATTCATTTTACAATGTCAAATGGAACCATAAGTTGATCAATTCATTGGATACTTTAGACTTTTACTAGTTTTGAACAACAGTTCAACATAAATACGAAGCAAGTATTGTGAAAATCTTTTCGAACCAAAAAATATTATATTAGTATTCCTATGGATGCCGCTTTTGTTGGAAACAATGATTAATCAGGTTTCCATTTTCTTCATTTTGAATTCTTAGAAATTCATAATTAGACATAGAAAACTATTCTTGTATAGAATTACTTTCATGTCTTGATAGCGAACTATCAGAAAACATAGCAATAAGGTAATCTACATTGTCTATCGATGTTGTGTGAATGAATCATTTAACAAGAATGTCATCTTGTTACAACTTCAGAAAGCAGATTATAGATTTCCAAATATTCACACTTGAATTGAATTTAGATGACAACATGCTGAGAACTTCTATATCACATGACTCAGGCAACCTTATATCCTTAAAAGGTGGCACAGATGACTGAGAATTACCGAACTATCAAAGAACGACTTACACAGACAAAACTTCAAAGAACACTACCTAATCTTATTCCTCCAATACTTGGTGTATATTCCTCAAGTTAGTTTTCAAATTGTCAAGTAAATTTTACCAATTCGTTGAAATTGATTTACAAAAATTGAATTTGTTAAAATCGAGCATTGTGCCTACAAATGTTGACGGCAATTCTAAGCATGCATCTGGAAAATTAGATAAAGTAAGAATTTAAGGGTAAAAATAAAATAGCGAACAATTGTTTATAGTATTATTAAAGCGAGTTTGACTTATAAAATAAGCTATCCTCATCAATTACTCGATCTTTGTTTTAGATTTACAGCGAGTTACTTAAGTGAAAAGTTGGAATACTACCCTATGTTTATTATATAATGTAAGTGCCCTATAACAGTGGAAAATCGATGAGAAATCTGATAATCAATATAAATCAGAAGAAGCATGACGTCGAGAAAACTGCTCAGCACCAATGAACTATATTATATAACGATCTGTCTTCTAAACTCGTTGAATCACTAAAATCGTCTTTATCATCATAAATCACCTCATTTACGTCTGGTGTTTTTGCATTAATATGTCTTTCCTTATTCGATGTTAAAGGTGTCTTTTTTAAGAGCAATTTAATAATATAAGTTTAGTAGAGAAGTCTATGATATTTTATCTGAGTATTATCAATCGATATATAGCCTAGTTGAGCTAGATTTAGTTGCAAAAAAACACTTTGCAGATATTTGAGATAGTGACTAATACTGAATAGACACTGTGGATACTATACTCGGCAAGTATTGTAATATTATCGAGTTATAATAAGTACATAAAATTGTTCTTTTGTGTTCGTATCATCCGGTTTAGTTTATGGACTTGTATTCTAAGGAAAGTTCCCCATGAAAACTGTTTCTCCTACCGAGGTCTGCAGTTGCTTACTATATGATAGTTACTTTCTTGCTGCTACTTTTTAAAATTTTATTTTCAACTAATACTCATTTGAAAAACATTCATGTCTCATAAATCTTGAATATTGCCAATTTTGACTTTTCGATAGTTTTATTTTGTATGAAAACTAATGTGCATGAAAATGGACAAACTGAGATCAATCACTGTACGAAGTAGCTGTATGAATACTATAGGCTATCAAGTTCTAGAAAATTATGTTTGTAGATTATCTGCGTATAATCCAATACCCATCCCATTCAAAAAAATATTAGACAAATGATCAGATCAAAATCGATTAAATCATACATCTTTTATCGATTCTTAATCGATTTTAATCTGATTATACGTCTAATTTTTTACGTGGAATTTCATTCGCAAACCGCCATTTTTTTTTCTTTCATTCGAGCATTGAGCCACAATTCATGGAAACAAGTTTCAAAATGAAACCTATTTAAATTATATTAATGCTTGCTCATTTTATTCTCAAATCGCGAATTTCTTCGTTTCTTTATGAAGAGCTTTCA